CCTTTGGGAACACGGAGAACGTCCAGTTGTTATTCGAGCTCTTGCCATATTCTGTGGAGCATGTCCGCTGGAATAGCCGACATCTCATTCCTGAAACGGGTCTTCAGGTCATCGAGTCCGTTAACTGGTGTTAGGAACGCACTGCTCTTGACATAACCCCACATGAAAAAATCCAGTGGTATTATGTCTGGTGTTAAGATGCAGTGGACACTGCGTTGTGAACTGTGCTACTGACTCGTCCTGCTACTTAAATCTCATTTGTTTACATGACCTCCACGGTTATTTCAAACGAAATGTGGGTCACTTATTTTGGGGCACGCGGTAGCGTAGTTGGTTGAGGCACTATGCTACAAGCCAGAAGTTCTCGGATTCTATTCCCGATGAGGTAATTGGATTTTTATTTGACCTAATCGTTCCAGTCACACTATGGCCCTGGAGTCGACTCAGCCTCTAACAGAAATGCGTACTAGGAATAAAGCGACTAACCGCTTGAGCTGTGGCGCGTCCTATCATGCATTTGTTTATTTTCTTCTGAGGTACCGCACACAAAATATCGGTAACAAATAAACCATCCTAGAACCACTACAGTGAAAGTTGATCTTCGGAACCCTAAAACTCGCCAAGATTCTCTTTATATTTACTGACTGCGTATTTTTATGGTGATTATCCGGACATTGTGCGGAGGTTTCGCAAAAAAGAGAACTATGTCAATTTTTGCGAAGAGCGGGTTATAATATTAGAGTCTTGTTTAAACTGTGTCACTAAAGGGACATCCTTTGACCCACATTAAACAGAGCTGTGTCAACGAACTTTGGTTGTCGCTGTGTTATTTGTGACTCATGTGTGCCAGAATCAATTAAACTTCAGTCATCTGCACGATGATTAATACTTCCTACTCTCATACGAAAACATAACTCGAATGAATTGATCCTTACTAATTTTAGGGTTATCGGGGCTACTTACACGTCAAATCTACCCAGACGTTAAAATAAAAGAAAACTGGATAAAGACAGAATGTTAGAACAAAGAACAAAACACAGATATGTAGTATACAGCGAACTAATTGGCGCAGAGGTAACACTCTTTACTCGTATTTAAGAGGTATCGAGTTCGAATTTCGATACCGGCTACCCGAGATGAGAGTTTTCCTGTTTTTTCAGTCCCTCCAGGTGAATGTCGGGAAAATAACTTAATAGAATTTCGATACCGGCTACCCGAGATGAGAGTTTTCCTGTTTTTTCAGTCCCTCCAGGTGAATGTCGGGAAAATAACTTAATATATGCAAAGAGCACTTACTTTCGCATTCTTTCCAATTCATCATTCACTAATGACTCTCCCATTCGAAGCCATACAGTTTAAATGATGCTCTGATAAACAAATAACATGCGGTAGCTCAGAAGTAAACGCTAATATTAATTCATCTGTTTTATTATTGTTTATTATTTATTATTGTATGCCAAGGACCCTGAGAGCTATACCAGCGGTAGTGTAGCTACTGGCAGGGCCTCCCTTGCTGGACAATTCAAAGGGTAGGCATCAGACGAAGAGAGACACCAAAAACTGATGCCGGAAGCAGCGTCATCAGCAGCGACTTGAAGCACAGAGCAAATGATGCTCGAGATGGTTCAAGTTCGTATAGCAACAGGCGTGACCAGAGTGGTTTGAGCGGCTGTTGTACTGTGATGTGGAAAGCAAATGGAAAAACTACCACATTATCACTTTCCTGGATAGTCCCTTTAAAAAAACAGAGATACCATGTATGCGAGATGTTTCCTCTGGAGACAAACAAACCGGAGGGGCAGATAGAAGTGCCCAAAAGACGAGGAAGAAGACCGAAGAAGATATTTTAATTGAAGGAGAAAGCTCTGGATCGCATTAAGTGGAGGAACTGTTTTGGAAGAGACTGGGGACCTGTCATCTGACAGATTACTGATGAATGAATGAATTTATTACTGATACCCCTAATATTTTGATGGTAAATTATGAAATTATTTTGATTCATTACATTACAATTATTTGACTTAAAGTTACCTTTATCATACTTATCTAGATTTATATTTCCCATAAAAATCTTTATTTCTTGCCATTGATACTTTTTTATTACGTGTAGATTGTCTACTACCTTTACTATCTGGAATCTATCAGGAATTTAATGTTTACATTAACGACCTGCCAAGTACTCTAGATGGTTTGGCTCATACCATTCTTTACGCGGATGATACCACCATTATTGTTTACTCAAAAGACATCAAAACATTGAATCATAAAATAAATAAAATAATGAATCATATTCTGATATATGAATATGAATAATGAATCGAGCAAGTGTGACAACGCAAGCGTCATTGCTTAGCAA